GATCCAGAGACTATGCCTGCCAATTACATCAGGGAAAAATCAATGAGCTGAATATTCAGATAGTCCACTGAATGCACTCATACGGGCCGTGTTCAGACTGGCAATTTGAAGCGCTAGGGAGTTGTGGCAAAGAAAAACCGGGACAGACCTGGAACAGCTTGGTTGGGGTATTCCCGTTCACACCGCAGTGAATGAAGCGGGATGATACCGTGGAGGAAGCGCAACAGAGCGTTCACAGTGTTGGGCCGCCCTGGCGGGCTGTTAGCAGCTCTTTCCATGCTGGGCTGCATGTGCCCATGCGCATGGGCACAGCAGCAAATAGGACATGATCGCGCAGGCCCTGACAGCGCCTCTCCACGGAAACAGCCGGTGCCTATTATCAATTACTGCTGTTTGTTCTCGCCTTAGCAGCGCTTGCGGTCACACTCAGGGAGCTGGAATCAACCCGCTCTACACACGGTTTGCTACCACTTTCACCTGGTATCTTTTAAACTCGGAGGGGAAGCGGCACAAGATGGCTTGAGTACGGCTGGGAGACACCTGACAGATGTGCCTGTGTGAACCTGCCCCCTTAATCCGCTAGTGAACCGCTACTGAAATGTTTGGCTGCCGGGCCAAACTGCCAGTCTGAACTCGGCCATGGTACTGCCATTACTAAACAATTGCATTATAACAGACACTGCTAGCACTTCACGATATTGATTTTTTTTTATAATGAACTGTTTTTAGATGGTTTTATGATAAATGTAACCGTTATTTTGTATTTATTTCTTATGTAAGCCACCTTGAGCCTGCCTCGGCATGGAGGGCAGGGTATAAGTTGAAGAAATATGATGATGATGATGATGATGATGATGATGAAGATGAAGATGATGATGATGATGATGATGATGATGATGATGATGATGATGATGATGATGATGATGATGATGAGAAGGAGAAGAAGTTACAGACAGAAATGAGGGAAAGTATCAAAATAGAAAAATAAAATCATTTCGATACTGAGTGGTGCCAGATATAAATGCAGGAAGATATAGTCTTTAGTCTTAAGCCATTTTCCAAGATGGCCTCAGCCATGTATGTTGTTTCTAAGCACAGCAGTTACCTGTGTTTAATGGTCTCCCATCAAGGGTGCCGATACGATCTTTAAGCACCACCGTTGTAGTAACAGCTACCTACTGAGAAGCACTGATACAGATTCTTGTAAAAAATGTGGACTCATGTCAGGTACTGTAGGAACTTTTACCCTGAACCCAGGGCCAAGAGCTCAAGTGCCTTGTTCTGCATTCCCAGGGAAGAGATGCTGGATCAATCTCTTCTGCACCATGGTGCCTTTCCGAAGATGGCTAGCAGAGGAAGTACACTCTGTCTGTTGGGAACCAGTAGCCTGGAGGTATTTACCTGCTGCGTCCAGGCTGGGCTCTTCAGTCTGAACAACTTGCCCATACTTTGCTAGTTCTGCAGATCCTGGTTCCTGACTAATTGGACTGATCCTGGCCATGCTTCTGCTATACCTTATGGACCCTATCTCTGACCTTTTGGCTTTCTGACCTTTGAACTGACTTGAATTTTCCATCTTGTCTTACCTGCTGTCCACTTCTGTGCCTGACAACCCCTCCCTTTAAGGGGGTAAAAAGGCTTTTTACCCAGTGAGGAAACTAACTATATAGCCAATGAGTTATGGAATATGTAAAGAAGGGGTTGATACCTGAGGCTTAGGAAAGTGAGAGCTGTTGAATCATGATTTTCAGGGACACTCTGTAGACCTATTTAATATATAAGGATAGTCTGGCAGCAAAGGGAAGATTCTTCTATGAAACAGTAGCACTATTATAATTGGCATATCTTAGGACCTGGCAAATCCTACTAGGTGAGTGACAAAGAAATTTCACATAGATAGATTAGCAGACATAGGCTTTAACTAGGAAGGGCTTGGACTCTAGACAAAATAAACTTGAATCAACTTAACTGTTTCCAGAAACAATTGGTGGATACAGTTAAAAGGGCAGGCGAAACTGACAAAGCTGTGAAACAAGTTGATGCTAAGGCAAATTCTATTAAAAAGAGACTGGTGGCCGTGGAAAAAGAGCGGATCTCCGACAAAGAGCAATTGTTACAGCTACAAATGGAGAAATCATCATATGTCCTGCGATTTCAAGGTATCCCAGAACAGAAAGGGGAGAATTTAAAGGAGTTATTTAGCGAAGCATTGGCACCAGTGACAGATTTTAAAGTGGATTGTCTACAAAGCGACATGGATATGGTTTATTGACTGCCTGGTGAAATATTTGTTAAATTCTCCAAAAGATCTACCAGAGATGTCATTTTGAAAGCGACAAATGGGAAATCCCTGAAAATCAAAGGTGAAGAAGCGAAGATCTTAAAAGATATTCCATTTGAGATACAGAAGAGGAGACGACAGTATAAAAACTTCACATTGTTTCTACATAACCATTCCATTCCCTTCAGATGGACATTTCCAGAAGGCCTTATTTTCAACTATAATGGCAAAAAAGAGAAGATTGACTCTGCCCAAAAAGCAAAGATGTTCTTGGAACAGCAACAAACAACGTCTAAGGATAAAGGGAAAACAGGACAGTATACAAACAGAAAAGAACGATTATGAGTCTGAAGACAGCATATCTATTCCTGACAGTTCCTCCGAAGAATCTGACTCCGAAAAAGGAGAAATAGCTCCTAAAACTCTTAAAGTCCGACTGAAATATGTTAAGAATAAACACAGAAGATAATTAATGCATGTAATGAAACTCTGAAAGGTTATTTTGTATTTGAAACTATGATGTACTCAATTTGGCTAAATGAGTTTGTTTTAGCTTTATTAATTTAAAAATAGGGCACCCAGTTTTATTCCTGTATTTTTCTCTTTCCTTTATATTGACAATGATAGAAATGGCTATTATTGGTTAGTGTTATCCCGTATTTCCCTTTCCCTTTGTAGTAAAAAAGGAATAAAAATTTATATATATTTATATAAATTTATATAAATATATATATATAAAGAGTAGATAGAGCTGGGTGTCATCTGCATACTGGTGATAACCTAGCCCATACTTCCGGATAATCTGGGCAGACTTTTAGTCAGACTCTTCAGACATCTACTCCTTTAGCTGAACTTTTACTTTACTGAATAGTAACTGCTGCTGAACTGCCTCTCTGACTGACTGACTGACTATATAGTCTTTCTCAACTGGTGCTAGCCAGTTAGAGAAAAGGAGCAGCCTGTCACTCAAGTTCAACATTCTAGAACAGATTTAACTATTCACCTCCCTTCTCTGATTGTTACTGAATTAGGAAAACAGCATGTTCTATTATATGAGGCTTTAATCGTTTTTGCTTAATGTAGCAATGAAATAGCATAATGTAATCATACTGCCTCTTGTTAACTTGTACAAATGTAAGAATTCATATACAGACCGTTTTTAGTGGCAAGGTAAGACAGGACTGGAAACCAATGCTCTGCAAAGTTCGAATTATACTTTGGTGATTCAGATAGATGAATTTGATCAGATAGTTTAGCCATTACAAAGAAGTCCCATAATTTGTTGATCCATTGAGTAACAGTTGGAGGTTGTTTATCCTTCCATCTTGATGCCAACACTAGTTTTGTTGCTGTCAGGAGATTAGATAGAAATTAGGTCCTGATTATGTTTAGGAATATTGTGATCATGCCAAAAGTTGAGAAGAATGGTTTCTGAAAGCAGTGGTACATCATGAGTAGTAATAAGTTTGATTTGTCTTATTATTTTGTGACAATATACCTGAATGAAAGGACATTCCCACTAAGTATGAATATATTTACCCTTTTGGTTACATTGTTTCCAGCAATAAGGTTGTTTAGTCAGTTGTACATGATGTAACTTGACAGGTGTCAAGTTCCAGCAAGTCAAAAGCTTAAATGATAATTGCTTAATATTAATTATATTTGTAGAATAAATATTTGAGAGCCAAATTTCAGACCATTGTGACTCAGAGAGATTAAGTTTGCAATCAGTGTTCCATGCTTTCTGGTATGGGAACAGTTGTTTTTTACCTATACCGAGTAAAATCCTTTGGTATTTAGTAAGTGTTTTTTCAATAAATGTTCAAAAGCAGTAAGAGGAGTATGTAAAGATTTTTGTATGGAAGCGCTTTCTATTAGGTGCTTAACTTGTAAATATTGGTACCGAGGCAAGGTGACACCTATAGATTTTTCTAAAGTGGATTTTCCTAAAATAAGACCATTTTTAGAGACATCTATCAGACATATTAAAACAGTCTGTCTCCATGCAGAAAACTCAAAAGGAGATTCACCCGGCTTGAACCAGCTCTGACCAAGAAAAGTAGACATAGAAGAAGGGGAAGAAACAAGATGAGTTCTGAACTGATCCCAAATATTCAAATCACTGGCTAAAAAGGATTAGATTTAATTGAGATCGGTCTTTCAGAACTTGCATTCCAAATAACTTCTTGTTTACATTTCTGCGAAATATGTGCTTGTTCAAAATTTTTCCAATCTAACTAAATAAAGATAATTTAGGGTTCATGAAAGAAATTATATTATGAAGATGAGAAGTTAAATAATATTTTTTTATGTCTGGAACATTGAGATCACCTAATTTGAAAGGTCTACATAGGATTCTAAAATCAATTCAGGGGTTTTTATAGCCCTATATCAATTTATGAAAACTAAGTTGCCAAGAATGCAGAATTCTATAAGGTATAGTAAGAGGAAGAGTTCTAAAGTAGAACAATAATTTGGGAAATATTACAGTTTCAAGTAAGTAAATTATATCAAACCAAAATAGACATAAATTGTGCCAATCCTTCATTTGCTTCGTCAAAGAGTGAATCAGGTTAAGTTTAAGAAGATCATCTAGATCAAGTGGAATTTTGATACATAGAGAGGTCCAAAACTTGGTAATCCATTGATAGGTGAAATTTTGTCAAATGTAAGAATTCAACTGCTTTCTTATAATGTGTCTATATTAAATTTTTCATAGTTTCACTCATTGGCACCAATGTACTATCGTGGGTCAGCAGCAGCTGTTATTGTATATGATATCACCAAACAGGTAAGCTATCCAATCACATTTATCTTATCATTAGTATGTAGCATACTCATAGTGCAATCCTAACAGCACTTTCCCAAAAGTAAGCCCTGTCCCTGAGTGGGATTTGGAGTAAATCTGTTCAGGATTGCTGTCTCATGAGTTCAAAGATAATTCAACCAAGCATTGCATGGCTCTTTCCTTTGTATTTTGTCAGTATTTTACTGTTAGGGTTAGGTAGCCCAAACAAAGATTAGTGTGTCGTATTTTCAATGGTTTTCTAGATTTTATTAGAAGCTCTTTTCTTTGGATCATTTAAAATTAACCAGACAAGTATGACTGGAAGGGAAAATTAATGCAGTTTACCATGCACTGGATTGTGATTTTTCATTAAAACATAGTGAAGTTCTATTGAGAATGTGCACATTTAATTCTGTATTGGATTATAATTTTTATAGATGGTATCTGTAGTTTGGATGGAATAAAACTATTTTACGAGCTAATTTTCAAATAACAAATGTTATTTGATGGTGATAGATGAAAGATCAACTATATTGTTAGAATTCCGAAAGACTCCCTCTTTGGAGCAGCAACAAGGATATCTTAACTAGTGAAATGGCATGACTGTAAGTCCCATTTGTTGGTACAAGAGGCCCAGTAACCCTCTGGGAAAGAAAAAACCAGCATACTCATAACAGTGAAAGAACAAGAACAGTTGCAAAACTGTCCCAGCAAGGCCGACTGTGGAACAGTGGGGGGAGAGTCTGAGGATTCCATTTCTCATCCAGATCTCCTAGTTCTTCAAAGGTTAACACACATTATAAATACAAGTAGTTGTTGGTATAGTTGACCAGTCACAGTTTAAATAAATATACAGTTTCATGTTGTTTTAAGATCTTGGGAATGGGAATGAGTAATACATGATTTCACCCTTCACAATTGATAACACCATAGGAGGCCATCTGGACATCTAACTGTACAGACACAAATTCATTTTAATTAGTTTACGAACTTGTGTTTGTTCTGAATGCTGAATATTGGGCTATTCACTTTTAAGACAAAGAAATGTAGGGATGAGGAAAAAAATGTTCAGTATTTATTTCCAAGAGAAAAAGATATAAAAATGAGGAAAAAACCTGAGGTCCATAATCAAATAATGTATTCTGAATTTTAATAAGAAATCTGTCTGATATAAGTTACATGACTGGATAGACATTTAATGAATGGGAGAAATAGGTAGCCTACAATTTACATCCCCAGCAAATTAAATCATATATTTAGTTTTAGCTCAGGAGTGTCAGCACAATTAATTGGTGTATTAGCATAATGAAATATTGCTGTTATTGCCTTCCTGTGCAGCAGCAGTGAGCTTTATGGAAGTTGTGGAGTTCATTTATTTGCATGAAAACCTGTGCAGATATCTAGTGCCAAGAATCCCATTGATTTCAGCAGCTCTCTAAATGGGCACTTACATTTGAACAAAACCATCCTTTTTTACAAAGTCTATAATCTAGAACGCTGCTACAGGAGCACACAAGAAACCTGGTCAGAAGCCTGTTGTTTTCTGTCCACACTGGAGCCACAGAGGAGAGATAATGCACAAATCCAGAACCTTTACCAGACTGATATTTTGTCATAGAAAATAACATCTGAAAAGCGCTAAGGATTTATTAATCTAGTAGGATATTTTTTTAAAAACAGCCATCCCCAGTGCTACTTCACAGACTGCCTTTGAATCTTTTCAGGCTGTAATTAAAACAAGTTTGAAAACTTAAAATCGTTCTTTGGAAGTATGGCATTGGGTGTAGGGATGGGCACACATCAAACCACGAAGCAAAATGCATCATGAATTTTGCCCTATTTGTTGTTCATGAACATCACAAACTTCCATGAACTTTTACAGCCATTTGTGGCAGTTCATGGACAGAGCAGAAAGCAGAGTTTTAAAGGACTCAAAGTCCCTTTAAACCTCTGCTTTCTGTTCCCCTCAAAAGCCAAAAACAGCTGAGTGGCAGGGAGTAGCCTGCTCCTCACTGCTCAGCTGTTTCGGGCTGTCTTTTGCAGTCCCTTTAAAGTACAAGACAGTTGAAACAGCTGAGTGACTTTTTATCAGGCTTTCTGCAAACCCTGTTGAAAAGGACTGCTTTCAACTGGGTTTGCGGGACCACAAACCATGAACCGGTTCAGTTTATGAATGAACCTCCCAGTTCATGGTTTGGCCACGAACCACATGTTTCCAGTTCGTGCCCATCCCTAATTGTGTGTGCAACATGCAAGTACAACTCCTGAGAGGGGGAAAAATGTGAAATTTGGGTTATCCAAAATACCTGCTCTTATTATATGTTCTGCAAATGTATTGTATGTTCTGGTTTGTTACAAGAATTATATGTTCTTGTAAATGTATTGTATGTTCTTATTTGTTACAAGAATTATATGTTCTTGTAAATGTATTGTATGTTCTTATTTGTTAGAAGAATTATATGTTCTTGTAAATGTATTGCCGATTGGTCAGAGCTTTTGGAATAGGGTGGGTATGCACTCAAATAAGTAATTTTTGCATGTGGCATGAAGAGTAATACACCAATAATCAAGAAATAATTAGGATGGCCTCTCGGCCAACATTTTTACTCAGTCAGACTCGACTGTGCAACTGAACAACAACAAATAAAGAACAAGTGTTGCCTCAGCTGTGAGATAGCGAACTCTGTTAAAATAAGCTGAAGCTGGGGACTGGCTGCTTGCCACTTTCAGCTTCTACATATGTTAAGAGCAAGTGGTGAATTATATATGTATGTGTGAGAAACCACTCTTAGATCTTCAGTTCTCTTAACAATAAATGCATTGTTGGTTTCAGTTGTGGTTACTTTGATTTAACTGGTGCATGTTATATCCAACCAACTCATGCTGGTAATGGCATTTACCATACATTATCTTGTTTGGAATTCTCATACCATTAAGGATTTTAGTATCTTACCTTCTACAGTTGGTTTTAAAAATGCAGTGCATGCATTCTGAAAGATCTTTGATATTACCTTGTATGTTTAATTTAGGATTCATTTCACACACTGAAGAAATGGGTGAAAGAACTAAAAGAACATGGTCCTGAAAATATTGTAATGGCCATTGCTGGAAACAAATGTGATCTTGCTGATATTAGGTAACGTATTGAAGTTTTGTCTTCAAATTGCTTGTTCTCCCCTGCATTCTTTTATAATAAGCAGGGGCAAAAGAGACACTTGAAGTTTTTAAAGTGCAAGCCTATGCAGGTTTACTTAGATGTAAGTCTTATTTAATGGGACTTACTTCACAGTGTGTAGGTAGGAATGCACTGTAATAATGCAGTCTTAAGCAGAGTTATACTAGTTAATTTTCATTTACTTTAGCAGGGTATAACATTGCTTAGGATTGTACTTCCTCATGACTGCATTGACATAAGGTCCTACCAAGCCAATAAAACAATTTATCTTGACTTGAAGTTCTGTTTTTACTTTTTGGTGACTGGCCATAATTGCCTGGAGCCAGATAGTGTTTTACAGTGCAGTATGGTGAAGCATCTTGAAGCCCTATTTATAGTCCATTTAGTGAAATTTGTTAATCGTGCTTGAAATTAGTGCAAGTTTATGGCAATGTTTTGTAAGTGAATTGGTTTGTTGAAAAACTGTTGTGCTATTACTGACATTAAATTGACACATTCCACTAATCTAGACTACATTAAAACAGCAGTTTACCACAGTATTAAATCATTTGCATTCTCTTTGTAAAGCCAAAAATTGCCTGATTAACACTGGAGGGCTATTGAATCAAAGATGAGTGCTCCAGGATATAGCATTACAGTCAAATTGTTATGTGAATATAAAGATTCCACCCCAGCCAAAAGTCTCCCCAGTTTTTCTCCCAGTGATGCACCTGCTATCTCATGTAGGGATGGAATAATCCACAAGTCTCTCTGCCTTACATTTATGAGATACTATGTGGTGACGAGTATGGATTTATTATGTCAGAGAAGATCCGTATTTTGCATCTGAATGTCACAGAAAACAAGGCCCATGTCCCTTGAGTGACTGCTAGCTAGATTGTTGCACTGGGCTGGGTCTCCCATCTGTAAGCTGATCATCTCACCTGTCATTTGTATCCCTGCTTGTTTGTTTGTAGTTTCGAATACCAAAGTGGTGTTTGTAACAGTGCAATCTGTGTTAGTTACATCCTGATAAGGCCATTGACTGCAGTGGATTTAGAAGGGTGTAATTCTGACTGCAGTGGATTTAGAAGGGTGTAATTCTGGTCAGAATTGCATTGCTGTTCTCTTCCATATTTAAGCTACTGTTCTCTTCCATATTTGTACATTGTTCACAACTCCAGGAATCACTAAAAACTGATGGAATAATATGATAAGACTGTTTAAACAGGTAATTCACTGTAAAGCTGAACACACAAAACTAGTTGAACCACTGTTTGTGGACTCTTCTCTCTTTCTGGATAAAAATCTTAGTCCTTCAAAGGTGAATGTTCAGCACTCAGCATTAGGTGCTCTCACATTCTGGATGATCTGTGTGGGCAAGCAGGTTACCCAGAAACTGCCTGCTTGGATTCTTTATGGGGCCACTTTGGGGGGGGGGAGGGCTTCAGCTGACCTTTTAGAATGAAATCCTGGGAAATACATAGGGATCTCAAAAGTATACATTCTATCTTTTTAAAGAGTAGAGGTTCATCTGTCCCCCTCAATTGTAGTCTTCTGCGAGTGTATGAAAACTTGTCTGTTTCATTTGGTATTAGGCTTGCCAAGTCCCCCCGGGGGGCGGGGAAACCCTCGCCCCAGAGGCCCGTTACCCGCCGGCGGCGGATTGGGCCCCGGGGGGAACCCCACCCCAAAGCATGCGACGTGCACGTCGCCTGGAGGTGACGCGATCGCGTCGGGCACATTGGGGGCGGGGCCACGGTCATCCGAGGGAAAACTCTATGGTTTTCTCTTGGATGGTTGTGGCCCCACCCCCAGCGTGCCCGGCGTGGTCGCGTCACTTCCGGGTGTTTTTGGTATTCTCTCACGAACCCGACTTCCTGCTTATGTATTTTGTTTATTTTTGTTTAATTGTTTAATTTGTTTAATTTTTTTAAATTGTTGTTTTCATTGTTTTTATAATGTATATTTTTAAAAGTTTGTTTTTGATTTGATTGTTTGCTGTCTTGGGGACCATAAATTGGGTGGAAAGGCAGCATAAAAATGTTTAAATAAACAAAATAAATAGAAGGGATTATTAGTAGCCAAAATAAATATCCATTTGTAGTGCACCCATTAACTAGAATATTCTTGGTAACTGGACCTGCCAAAGGATATAGTATAGTTTAACTGGGATCCCCTTATTGTCTTTCGTACAGAAAGAGTTGTACACTAATATACTTTTTTGGACAATTAATCTTTACAAATCATACTAACATAAGGTCCTGTTCTGTTTTGGGAACACATTGGTGGCTATGACTTAAGCATTTGTAAGCAACAATCTACACTGCATAGCTGGAATATCAGGCAGAAAGGCGCTGTGTTGGCAAAGCAGCATGAATGAAATGCTTTCGGTTCTTTCTATTTGCCTCATTTAGCTAATTTAGATTTATTACTTTAATGTTCTCAAACAGATAGTTGCTTGACTCATAAACCAGAAGACTATTACAAATTGCAATCAGATAGTAGAGAGTGAGCCACATAATATGTCAAAATTCACTGTGCTGTGCTTCAGCAAGATGAATTGGGTTGGTGCCAAACACATGGTAGACAGCCACTGAATGCCAGTTCATAGAAGTAGTACTGGCACAAGAAAGCCTTCCGTATACACATGGAACATTTATCTTACTGATCGGCTTTGTAGCCTGTTTTTCACTGGAATTCTGCCTTATTCAACAAAGCTGTGGAGTTCTTTGGGAAAATTCAACAGATTTCCTACTAACCTCCTTGAACTGGGTCTCCATTGACACAATCCATTTTTACCTCTGTTCATCTAAAAATATGCTACAGTATGTTTAATGATAATACCTTATTTAAGAGTTCAGTATTTTCAGTGTCTTGAAGTTTTTAGCTTAATATCCAAATTTACTGGCAATCCTCTCTATTGTGACTCTGGGAGAGTCTAAATAATGCACATTTTTTACTACAAAATTTGTTTTCTACTTTCAATTTAAATGGTTTCCCTGCCTCACAGATGTCAGAATTGAAGATACAATAATTATGGTAGCATAGGGTGTAGTGTTTGCAACTCTTTCTCAAATATTAGGTAGATTTTTTTATATATATAGTTTTAAATTCCAAAAATATGGCAATTTTATGTGCTAGGTTATAAATGTTGCATTTTATGTTGTTTAATCAGTAAAAGAAGTTTAAGCTTGATAGGAAAGCAAGGACTGAATATATATTGCAATTGTCCCCCAAATTTCTGCTTTTTTCCCAAGAAAAATACTGTTTTTTCCTGGAAATTAATTTTACATCTCTCCTTCTAGGTATCATTGTAGTACATAATCTTGTTTCAGTGCTGAATTCTATGTTGTGTTGCCAAGGCAGTACAGAACACTGGATTAGGCTCTGTGGTTTCAAGCATTCAACAGGAAGTTAATTCCATTTGTCAAATACTTTCCAGCAATTTAGTATTCCTTCATATCTTGCCTTGGAATTCCAGTCTACTCTCCCATCTCTTTCCATGAGTTTAGGGAGAACCAGTTTGGTACTAATTATGGGTTTAAATAATTTGGGAAACAGAATTATTCAGCAATAAAATATCAGTGGTATTACAACTCTGGATAAGACTTCCTGAATGCTTTATTTGCATGCACAACAATTTAACTTCTAAACCTTTGTTTTAGGGAAGTCCCCATGAAAGATGCCAAAGAATATGCGGAGTCTATAGGCGCAATTGTCGTTGAGACCAGTGCAAAAAATGCAATTAACATTGAAGAACTCTTTCAAGGAATCAGTAAGTAAAGTCAGAATTTGTGTGTAGCTGATGGGTTGGCAGGGTTCTCTCTAATTGCAACTTGCTCACGTAAAGTATAAAAATCAAACTGGAGATGTTGGTTTTATTTATTTAAAACATTTATATGCTGCCTTTCAACACAAATAGGGTCCCCAAGGCAGCTACCATCAGGCATTAAAACATTTAAACTTTAAAATAACATTTAAAATGTATATGTAAATGTTTAGCAATACAATAAAAACATATAAACAAACATCCACATGCACAACCAGGGAGGAGTAATTATTTATGAAGTAATTACATTGAAACATAAGGTTTTCGAATATCTAATATAATCATAGCACTTGAAGACTATTAGTCTATTAGTATCATCTGAACCATTTTGGATATTTTTAATTATGAATATCCAAGCAAAGCTTGGAGGATATGTAATATAACCATACAGTTCCATAATATCTGAGAACTGAAAAACTGGAAAAGGACCTAAATGTGATCAAGGCCAACCTTCAGACTCTGGGAAGGATTTATTGAGGCATTAATGAGAGTTGTGATGTATCCTCTTCTTAAGCCTTCAATGATGAGAGCTATCACAACTTTTCCATCCATTCAGGTCTGCACTGGCCAGTCTTACAGATAGGAACCTTCTGTGAAGGATTTGCAGCTGCTGGTTTTTTACATTTTACTGTACTGCTTCTAAATAAATCTACCAATATTGCATTATTTTTAGTCAGCTGCTGAGAAGAGATAATTCAATATGTGTGAGCACCCTTGTGGCTGTAATCCTTAATGACATTGATATAGCAACTAAAAATAGTTGCCTACATTTTCCTTGGGCTGAAATATGGGTTAGTTATTTATTATGATATTTGAAACATTTATATCACACACCCTTCAAGGACTTCAGAGTGGTGCCTCAGCTTCATAGCAATTCTGTGAGGTAAATTAAGCTAAGAAACCGTGCCTTCCCAAGGCCACCCAGTAAGCTTTATAACTGAATGAGGTATCTGAACTATGGTTCCCCACATACAGGCTCAGTACTCTAACTGCAGGTTCATGCCCTTTCCCCCACATGCATTCAGAATACCTCCCTGACTTTTTTATTCTGGCAAGCCATAGTTTGCCATTCAATCAACTGGCAACTATGCAGACCCTCCTGTTTGTGCAGACCCTCCTGTGACAGAGTCCTAACCCATTCTGAGTTTCAGTTTGGGAACCACTGCTATAGGCTAACCTTCATCTCTAACATATTTACTCCCGGGGGGTGGGAGGCTTGTTACACAAAGGCCCACCATATTACCCTCATTTATCTAATTCTCTGACTGTAAATTAACTATGGGAAAAAGAAATCCTTCCCACACCAAAATGGCTTGATCAAAGCGTCTCCCCTATTATGTAAGTATGGCTTGATGAGGAAACACTCAGGATATTTGAGCAGTTGAGAATCAGTGAAAGGGAGAAAAAGAGGGGAGGGGAAAGTAGCCTGCTCAAGCTCCTCAACCCTTGTAGATGCTTGCTTAGTTGTGGGCAATTGTTGCTTAGTTGTTGCTTAGTTGTGGGCAATCAGCTTGTCCTGTTTCTATTAATCTGGAAGACACTTGGGGTATTACTTACTGATTGTTTGCACTTATATTCCACCTGTCTTCATTCATGGAATTCAAGGTGGCTTATTTGCTGTCATGGGGAGGGGAGTTCTGGGCACTGACCAAGCCCATACTTACTTAGCTTCAGCAAGGCTGCTATATTATATGCCCTTTAACCAGGGGCCCAGGTAGTTAGATGAAAGCAATGGTGTGGTGATTGAACAGTTTAAGCCAGGTTAGCATGAGGGATGAAGTAGCTGATCTTTTCCTTTTTTTCCTTCTTGTCTGTGGCTTCAGTTTGCTTGCTGAGTTTCCTCTCCTTGCACTAGGATGTAGTTCCCATCTTTCATTGTGGCACACTGTGGTTTGGATCTAGCATGTGGATTATTTATTTTAATTTTATTTTATCAGATTTATATCCCACCCTCCCCACATAGCAGGCTCATATAGCAGGATTATATGATTTTGGGGTTCTCTTATTTCTGATTTTAAGCGGCCCTGTGCAGACTAGATCGAGTACAAAATAGGAGTAGGATATTACGGTTGACTCATAATATCGGATCATTGTATAGCATGTACTCTGTCACTGTATTAAAAGTCCAACTCCAAATGTTTTTCTGTTGCAATTATCTCTGAAATCTAGCTGGCATTTATGGGCAAAGAACTTTGGAATTTGTACTAGTTAATTCCTGAGGTCACTGCAGTCAGTGGCACCTGTTGACTTTTGAAGTTAGACAAATTGTATAGGAAGCCACCATCAATCAATATATGTTGGTGGATTAAGGTTCATTCTGAACATGATTTAGAACACAGAAAGCCAAGCCATCTTTGTCTTTTCCAAGGACATGCTGCTGACTCTAATAAAGTATACTTTCATCTGATATGTGATTCATTAAATTTGGCTTGGGTACAGGAAACACAGTGACTAAAGTGTGTTTCATTGCTGAATTCTCCAGGCTTAAACACCACTATACACTGGGAAAGCACACCTTTCCTCAGCTTGTTGCCTGCATGGGATCTTACCCTGAAGATATTTCTATGTAATTTTACCTATCATTCTTTTGGGGTAGTAGATTTTCAGATTTTAATCTTTTATGTCATCAGCTAAAGCAGCTGCTCTGCCTCTCCATGGTTTGTTTTTTACTGTTGTTCTCTCCCCCCCCCCCAATTTATGGAACATTTACTGTGAAGCTTATGACAAACCATATTTATATTTCAACAACAGACAAAGTTGGCAGGCTCTAATATCAGTAACAGTTAAAGAAGCAAATGTGTGTAAAGTTCTATACCCCGCACCATGTAGTTCTCAGTGTATGCTTGTTAAAGTGCATCCATGCCTCTATCTAACATAAGACTGCTATAGCTAATTGCTTCTGTGATTTCAGTGCAACATGATACAGTTGGTGACTGGCTTTTTTATTGGTGAATTTTCCAGAACAAGTGCACACAGCCAACAATCTATGACCAGATTGCCAATTTGCACTTATAAAATGTGCACATCATAAAGTCTGTCTGAGATGTCTATGAGATCTTTTTGAAAATCACCTGTGTGGAATAAACAACTTCTGTACCTCATTTTTAAGGCGTAAACAGGCTTCTCCAAATGTTTGGTCATTAAGCAGCCTACCTACGCTAGTGAAGTGGAGTAATCTATTAAAAAAATTACTGCTGCTAGACAAGAACAACAGTGTGTCACTTTCCACTTCATGGCTAATGCACCAACACAAAAGGAATGAAAACGAGTTATCTAAACCACTCCCTGTAAATGACAGTCCTCAAAGTATTCTTTCTGCTATCAACATCTTTCACTGAAACCCAACCACATGTACCATAAAATAGCAATCAAAGGGGGGGGGGCAGACAAATCAGTGCAGTACAATAAATGCTGCATTAGATTACTTCACAACATCCAGAGTCAGACAGGCTGTTGTCAAAGGGACCTAGATGTAAAGTAGCAGATAGTCTTTCATCCTCAAAAGCTCTTCTAGTAGCTTAGTGGACACTAACATGACAACTGACAAGAAGAATGTATTCTGATTTCAGACAGTTATAGAAATGTCTCTAAGTACTTTCTGGCTGGTGCTTTTTCCTGATAAGTTTTGAATTTCTTTCAAGAATGTTATGTGATTAATGCTTCTGTCATGACCATATAATAGAGCTTCTGGTTTCCTGTCACTCCAGCAGTTTCTCATATCTGGGGGAAAAAATCCATATACTTGATTCCTTTATTTATTTGGGAAGAAAGGAAGCCTTGAGGAAATGGGGGAAATTTTGTCCTCAGCATGGCTATTTCGAAATAGTTGATCCCCCCCACCGCTCTTATCAAATCTTATCAAATCTAGCATATGAAGCTGCCTTATACTGAGGCAGACAGTTAATCTGTCTAATACAGTGGCCTGTATCCAATAATCCGTGCATGAAACAAGGAGCTTTCCCAGCTTTCTCTCCATTCCAGCACCCAGAAATATAATTCTTGGGGTCACAGAACCTGCGTGGAGAAACAGCCGTGCAGGTTGGGGTGGGGGAGCTGCACTTTTTTTGTTGTTCAGTCGCACAGTTGAGTCTGACTTTTCGCGACCCCATGGACCAGATCACGCCAGGCCTTCCTGTCTTCTGCCGTCCTCTGAAGTTTGCTCAATTTCATGTTCGTTGCATCTATGACACTGTCTAACCATCTCATCCTTTTTCGTCCCTGTCTTCTTTGACCTTCAATCTTTCCCAGCATCAGGGTCTTCTCTAGTGAGTGCTCCCTTCTCATTTGGTGGCCAAAGTATTTGAGCTTCAGTTTCATTATCTGGCCTTCCAGGGAACAGTCCGGGTTGATTTCTTTTAGGAGGGGCAAAGGGGTGAAATAATTCTTCCTCCTCCTGCAAATGCCATGGAAAGGGAATGATGTCATCCCCTTGTTCTTCCTTGCTCCAGCTTCCCAACTTGCAATAGCTATTCCTCTGTGCA